TTTTAGAAAAGAAATTATGATAGATTTCCTAACAAAAGGCATAACGTCCGAACCTTCTTCATCGAAACCGAAGAGAGCTAAACATGAACTGGCGAAAAAAGAAGGATCATCTAAAGTCGTTCGACGGCAATGCCAACAATGTTATAAGCAGAACGTAGCCACCCTGGGACGCTTAGGAGCTAGGAATAAGACAAAGAAAGTCACTACTTTTTGTAAAACATGTCCAAATGAACCTTTTTTATGTCCCGAATGTTTTATTAAAATACACTAAACTTTGTCAATTTATCTTTTTCTGTACCTCATTTTTACAATAAATTTTTATATGCGCATCAAAATTGTTTTATTTGTAATCTATACCAATATTATAAAGAGGATAGATTTGTTTGAATCTACTAAACTGATTTTAATAATTCTTTCGCCGATAGAAAACTATATTATGCAGAAGTGGCAGCGTATACTTTTTACTGTAGGAAATTGTTTCATTCCTACGGAAAAATATATTACGCCCGAGCGAATCCTCGAGCGGAAATCTAGTATTTTTTATTCGATCTAACATTGCGAATTCTAGTCCATATTTTGGTCAAAATTGTTCTAACGTTAAACGCTATTTTTGTATACAATTATAATAATAGTCCATTATAGTGAAAATTAGAGGTCACAAGTAAAAACACGAGATATATTTTAGAGTTGTCTTGTTTGCAAAAACCAAGCTAAATATGATAAAATGCAGAGCCGCGCGGGTCCCCTGTCATACAAAATTGAAAGACTTTTCTGTCCGTTGGCCTACAGTCACAGTTTAAAAACACATCTGACGCGCGGTCACCATTGGGCGACGCGGCCCGAACAGAAATGTTTGTTGTCGCCCAACAGTGACCGCCACGGCCTGAATGAAAAAGACATATTTTGTTATTGGCAGAGAACGTGTTAAATAGGTCCGACTAATTTAAATGTTAGAAAACAACATTGATTACATACGCGCAACATTATATACGCGTAAAAAAGTCTCAACAATTCGTCTAGAAGTGGGATTTAAATTTTTATTAAAAACTTTTTCAATAAATTTAGGAAGAAGTGTTTAAACAGATTCCACCAATTTAAATATAAAGAAACAACATTGAACTTTATACGTTAAAAAAAACTCTATCGAATGGTAATAAAATATATCATTGAAACTACCGTTTATGCAGATGTCATAATTTGCAGATTCGTTTTACAACATGTTACGTGATTATTACCTTGAATACAAAACTTGAAGACCTTATCGTGTGCCAATATTTTGTTATTAACGAAAATGTTTAAAGTGGGTCAGAGGTATGTGTTCCAATTAGCGATGCACTTGGCCGAGTAAAAGATGCACGAGGTGTTTATTATTTGTGTAGGGATTAACATCACTTGAATTGTTGGGATTTTTTATACACCTCGGTACATTTTAACACGTTTTTATTTTAGCTCGACCTGAGTGCGTGTATGTATAAATGTAATGATTTTTTTTAAATACAACTTTAACCCACTTCCGTACGTCCGAATAATCTGAGAAATGCAGACGTATTAAGAGAGAGAGAGAGACAGATGTTAAAGTTAGTTAAAGTTACAGTTTTTATACGTCCCAACGCTGGGCACAGGACTCCTCTCATTTCTGAGAGGGTATTAGGGCAGGGAAACGTCCGCCACGTTGCCCCAATGCGCGTTGGTGAACTTCTCATGCCTTCGATTTTTTTTTCTTATTTCTTATTTCGCCGCTGAACACGTGGTAAATCGGCACTTAAAATTGCTATTAACAATTTCATTGGTGCTGGCGGAGATCGAACTCGGGTTGCTCGCGTACTGTGAAATTTACACCGAGCGGTTAGCCCCTGAGCTACCACGGCAGATGACAATACAATAATTTCATGACTGTGACCTAGTATTGTCACTAGGATCGTCACATATCAATGTGTATTATTGAAGTTATACTTCTTATGGGTGTTTGGGAAAAATGATAAAAGTTTTTACAATGCGCGCATACACCGACATTTACAAACGACACCATGAAGTTGTTACGATGCGCGCGCACACTGACATCTGTCAAATTTTTTTTTGTTTTGTTACGCTTAAGAAGTATAACTTCCTACATGCGTACATAAGTACACACACATTTTTTTTTGCTTTTTAAAACTCTAATTTTATTATTAATTAGCTTTTACACACACATCACACAACTTAAACAAAAATATAGTAACAGCTATTATTTATTCTGTGCTAATAGTAGTCTTTGGGCAAGTAGTTTTTCAAAACAATTATCGAAAAATCTACTTTAATCTCAGTTTTGTCATTATCTCGAAAATTATGTGCGATTTAGGAAGAGGCTTAAAATTAAATTTAAAGATAAAATAATTTTGCTTAGAAAACGGTCTTATTACCTTAGTAATAGTTCTTTAATAGTTTTTGTTCTTAAGTAGACTTTATATCAAACCTTAATATAGAAGATAAAGTGTTACGATTCTCTTGTGTAAAATTGCAAACCAAAAAATTTTTGTTGGATTCTTTTTATATATCCCATAATTTATAAGATAATTACTCAAAATTTGTTATAATTTTTTCGAATTTACAAAAAGAAATCTTGAATGATTTTTTGACGTCATTGATCTGTATCTGTTCGTGAAGTTACAGTATATTAATCAATTCAGACGTTCCCATGATAAGCTCGGATAAAGAGACTGACAGACGGACAGAGAGACAGATATACAAACAGACACATAAACAGACAGACAAACAAAAATTTTAAAAATGATTATGTATCTATTAATAACTGGCAAATAACCTCCCGAACTTAATACGTGTCACTTATTCTATGTATAACTTATTTATGTATATATCTTATAACATTATTGTTCAAGATACATTTCTACTATTTTACAGATAAACAACTGATAAAAAAAATAAGAAAGTAAATATTTGTGCCTCATTTCTTGTCCTGTAGTAACTTTGAAATGGTTTTACCTCGTTTATCCTATAAAAAAAAATTACAAGCATGAAATAAATCTTATATTTATGCCCTATTTATAATATTATTGACGGTCGGAGTAACGAAGAGAATCCACTACCCCATATCTCATGGGTGTCGTTAGAGACGACAGAGGGAAATTATTATATAGGGGATGGAAAGATGATTAATCCCTTGGCTACCACGGTTTCTTGCCAATATATCATATATATTTTTTTATTTATCTTAAATTTTAATCCACACACACACAATGCGCTAAAATGCTCATATAGATTTTATTTTTAAAAAAAAGTTGAGTTATACGTAAAACATCCATACCAACCTGCTTACCCTAGTATCGGCAGGTATAGTAGCTCGTGGTGGCATTGCATAGAAATATTTTGATAATACACATGCATTTATGCCTAATGACATCCAGTTCCGCGAGTTTTATCGCTGCTTATCGACCGAGGTTACGAGGCGAACCTGACAATGAAATATATTTAGTGATGTTACTTCTTTTATATCGATATTATATTCTCAGTTAGCAGTAGAAGTCAGAAAGCAGCCATATTATTTTTAAATTTGCAGCATTAGGTTATTATAAATTTGTAGATTTTTTAGTAACACAAACCGTCAATTAAGTTATAAATCGCACATTTTTTTTTTAAATTGTACGCATTCATGAGTGCAAGAGTAAAATTCTGTCAAACTCGTTACTTCTTTGGGGGGGGGCAACAAACCAGTTACTTCTTTGGGGGGGGGGGGGTAATTCCAACACTTGTTGATAGATGATATATTATGGTATAAAGGTTGCTATGATAATATTTCATTAAGCAAAAATTGTCTAGTAAGGGTTTATTACTTATTATACTACTAAAGATTACATGACTGATAATAATCCCCTGGGAATAAGGTGATCGCCACCATGCTGTTTCTAAATGTTTTCTTAACAATTGTATAAAATATTACATCATAAATTGTACTTTTAAAAAAAAAGCTTTCTTGCTCGTTCTTCACAGGATAGAGGTTTTTTGCGAACCAGTGATAAAAGTGAACAATTACTTGCAATAAATTTTATTGTAATCTATTCTACTCTTTTTCTTACCCATAGACATCTACATTTATCTTCAATAAAGAATCAAAATGCAGATGCGTCGTCACCCGTGAGGATTAAAATGGGACGTCTCTTTTCCAGTAAAATGGGTCTCCGGTTCTCTACACTCACCATACGAAACACAGCAGTGTCAAGTTGCCATTTTACGCTGGTATTCTGTGAGAGCGTGGTCCTACTCCAGTCGAGTCGAACCATTCGTGCTATAACTATACTAATAATATAGCTGCAGTATGGCTCTACCACGTATTCTATTCTATTCTATTCGATATGCTAATTGATATGATTTATTGATATTTTTATGATAAGAAAACTGCTTGATATGAATATCTGTAATTAAAAAAAAAAACAAAATGAAATACATATAGTTTATTGTGAAATATATACGTTTCATCGTATAGTCATTAAAATAAAAAAAAATAGGTTGAATATAGTCCAGTCTAAGAATTATTTATTGCGGGGATAATAACTCTTAAAAACGCCATCGTTATTTGTTAAAAATATACAAAATCAATTCATTTTTGCGGCCGCTATGGCTTATACTTAATGTGTTTTTGTCATAACTTTACACTGAATAATATACGGATCTACTTCCATGATAGTTTTCTTTAAAGTGAAGTATCGATAGATTTTCTGACCTGCATTTATTCCCATCACTATCAAGAAATATAGGGGTCAGGCCTTCGAATGAATGAAGGAGGGTCATTTCGTTACAAATCATAGTTACCTTAAATATCCTTATGAAAATCGTATCCGACGTAGTAGTGCGCGCACTTTGACAATAGTGGGTGCATTTGCTTGTTTGTGTTTGTTAATGTTTTATCGATATATTTTTTGTTTATCATATACCCATTTAAGAGGTGATAATATAAATACAAAAAACATTTGAGTGTTATGATCAGATAATATTTAGTTGTCTTGAAAATGTGTCGCCTCTTTGTGCCCTTAGTGATTCTGTTGTGTTCAGACTTAGGACTTTGTTATGTAAACCGTAAGTATATTACATTTAAAATAGTGCAAGACGAGCTATTTGCAAAGTTTTAAAAAGTATTGATATAACTTTAAATTAAGATTGCTAGGTAGATGGCTACTGAACTTATAACGAGTATTCTTTTCAAAGTTCTTTTATTGATAATGAAAAGGCGTTCTATTTATATTTAATTATTATGCCTTGAAAAACTATACAAACAAAAAAGTTGTGTTAGTTTTAGATTGATACAGATGAGTAAACAAATAAACAATTAACAGGATTTTAGAAAAGATGAAAAACATTTTTGTAAAGTATAATTTCCAATTTATTTATCACCTGATTTTGAACACCTGGGCACAGGCCTCCTCTCTTTTTTGAAAGCGGTATAATTTCCGTTACGTTCAAATTGTTTTAAAATAATTAGAAAACAAGAAATAACAATTAAATGAAACATTATAACCCAAAAAAATCAAACATTGTACATATAAACTAAGTATTAATTAAATGATTATCATAATGGGGACATATTGTCTTAAATCTATGCATTATGTACTCTAAAATATTAATTTACCGTCTAAGACTTCATCACCACTAACCATCACCAGATGGAATTGCAGTCCAGCAGTGGCTTATAATAAGTAAAAAGTAAATATTTTTTTACGGTTTTCTGTCCAATAATAACTACCAAATATATTTATGATAAAGTAAAGTTACAACCTATATAAGTCCCACTCATGGGCACAGGCCTCCTCTCATATCTGCGACGGTTTTAGGGCAAGGAAAAATCTGCAGCGCTGCCCCAATGCATGTTGGCGGACATCAAACATCGTCACAATTGTTTCTTAATTTCTCCGAACTCACGATATTTCCTTCACCACCACGTGGTAAATCAGGACTTAAAATTGATTTAAACATTTTCAATGGTGACAGCGGGGATCGAATCCGGGTTGTACTACGATATTAACAGCACGCGCTTAATTAGCTCCTGAGCTGTCACGGCTGTTAAAAAACCTCTTGATTTTTATCAAAATTAATTTAGGTAAATAACTTCACGTAAAATGAACATGTTTTCGCTTATATCTACCTGAAGAATGTTGTCTTTTTAATGTATACGGTTGTATCTTTATTTTTGTGCACTTACCCATTTTTCTTTTTCTTATTTTTATTTATTTCTTCTTCTGGGTTGTCTGGAAGAGATTGCTATATAGCAAGCAATAAGAGCGCCCTTTGTATATCCTTCAATAGTTGATTTTTTTTTCTTTTTGCTATTTTTTACTTTTCTTGGTGTACAATAAAGATTATTGTATTGTATTGTATATATTGGCCACCTACTCGTATAAAATTTTTTTAATTATTTTCACAACACAGTCATGTAATGTGAAAGAAAGAAATTTCTAATATTTTCATTAATTATAACTGTACAAAACTACTGGATGAAGTAACCACCTAACTGGACATGAATGCTGGTGGCTCAGTACTGTGTTTTCTGGAATTCCCCTGAGGAGACTCGAGAACCTTACCTTTCCATCGGTTGTTGGTTTTTCGAGCTATATGGCTTACTAATTTGTTGGTCTATGTCGTTTTTATTTTTTTGACAAAACTCATAATTTTAATAAAGCAATTTTTATAAACGATATAATCAACAGTTGCTGATGTAGAATGCGGAGTGCAAACTGCCCGAAGAGGTCGAATAGTTGGAGGAATTGACAGTCTACCCGGTGAAATCCCATGGGCTGCCAGTGTGTGGCGTCAAGGAACCCATCAGTGTGGTGCAACCGTTATTCATGATAGATGGCTTTTAACAGCAGGTCATTGCATTTGCAGGTAAATATGTGGGCTAGTTTTGTGAAACTAAAAAACAATTTTGATGATATAAGGCTGTATTATTAATATACATATAATAGATGATGTTTGTATAGGTATATGAAATCGTTTAACTCACAATCTATTTGATCGACACCGTGGAAATTGCTATATATATATATCAATAGAGAAGGTTTATATCCAAAGGGTTTCATGCATCTTCACTTCACTTTCAGACACACATTACAGACGCACATTCAGACGATGAAGACTGTAAAATTTTCAGCAGTTTATTTTTATTTTAGTGAATAAAATGAAGTGCGATATGCAAGCGGTGCCAAATTATAGCTGTAAGAAGGATAATCAAAATGCTTAACCGGTGTGTTGTCTAGGAAGTCCCTCACTGAAGTCTGAGTGTTGACATGGTGAAATAGTATCTCGTGGAGGTTCGTGTTCGGTCGTTTGCTTTTTTTAATGTATAAAATAGTGAAAACGAGCTCAAAGTCCACCTGATGGTAAGTGGATGCTGTGGCCCATAAACATCCTCATCTATCCTCGATTACGATTCCAAATTCAAAATGCAAACAGCAGCCTTAAGCTGCTATTTTACACTGGTATTCTTTGAGAGGGTAGTCCTTCCCCGGTTGAGCCGACCCATTCGTGCTACAACCATAATATGGCTTCAGCATTGCTCTACCACGTATAAAACGTATTGTTGCTCACAGTAGTAAATGTTTCTGGTGAGCATTTGGTAGTATACCATTCGGCATTGATTTCGGCAGTGAAATAGCTAACGATCGAAACCTTCCCTGCGTTTCTCGATCGCTTTAGTTTAGTAGGCGATGATTCATTTTAAAACAGCTGAACTGACGACTGGTGCTTCGTGGGTATCGTAGGAAGCGATAGAGAAATACTATTTTAATTTACCTCTAACGCCGCTTACGACATTCACGAGATAATATGAGAATATTCTTACACCGCCACTAAACAAAAAAAAATAATGAAAAATAAATACTTATTAGGCTACATAAATACATTGGTCGATAATTGTAGTTTAAAAAAAACTTTATCAAAAATGTGTAGATAGTTCCTCATTACATTCTAACCCTATGGAGAATAATATTTGTATCAGAAATCAATTGAAGAAATACAGAATACCGTGTGTGAAATCTTAGCAAATGGATCGAAAAACCGCCATATTAAATTCCTCGCTTGCTGGCACTTACTTCCGAATAATTTGCAATGTGAAAAATTAAATCATTTGGTACGACTAATGCACTATATTCTAAACGAATGAATGCGTCTTCCAATAATCTGTAAAACGTATTAAGGAATACAAGGTTAAGGTCACACACCAGGTGAAGGTTTTGTGATGCACATGTTTCATAAATGTATTTGCAGATTAAGTAAAAGTGACATTGTCCGCAGCGACAATTGAGGTCTCCGCCCACAATTCTTGACCGTCACCGTACTGACCCACATTGATGCAATCCTATAATTTTTCAGTAATTCGTACTCGTTTTTTTTTTTTTTTGTTTTATTCAATAATTTTAATAATCGTAGCCGTGGTAGCGTCATCCACTATAATAGAACTTCTTTTCTGCTCAGTAGTTCGCTTGGGTAGGTTCTAACGCTCTTACCTATTTCTGCCGCCAGCAGCAATGCGTGCATTGGTGAATTTGGACTGAAGGGCATATAGAGCCAGTATAATGTCAGGCTTAGTCCTCAGAAGTATCAACGCATTTGTAACCTTTTTGATTGAAATTGTTTGCAGTTGTTGATGGGCTGCAGTAGCCCCTTCCCAACAGGTGGGCTTGGTGTAAGTTGTTGTTGGTTTCTCTGTCAACCAATTCTGAGCATCAGACCGGAGTCTGAACGTGTTCGGCCGCCAGCCCTCGGAAATCACGTAACGCCGTTGATCCTGCACCTGATGACCATGAGAGAAGAGAAGAGGAAGAGAAAAGAGAGTACAACTGTGCTTGCACGTACACTCGGGCACAATGATCGTGCCCTGGGCATACGGCTAGTATCCATTGCGACTGGCCACCGTGATCGAAATTCGGTCTGGAAATTATATTTAAATAATGCTTTAAAATCCTTGATCATTCTAGAGAAGAGATTGGTTTCTGACTCAGTAAATTTTTACAAGAGACATTATTATATTTATTGACGGATCGGGGATCATAGTGCTCTGATGAGTTGCTTAACAAACTTAGTCATTGTGGATCATTACCATCATAACAGTGTTGTAAGAAATGAAAAAGTCTATTCGCTATCTGTCTGTGACCAAATAACTAGAAAAATACTAAGAACAAAATTTTCATCGGCGATGTCTACGACTTTCGAAATGAAAAATGCTTCTGGCGGGCTATTCACAATCGTCTCGGAAAGCGAAATCGACTCGGATTCGATAACTTATCGCACATATTTCAGTTTTTTTGTTATTTATTATATAGTTAAATTATATATCTTTTATATTCGATATCAATGGCTAACTCCAAAATATTGCATTATGTTTTTGTTCAGGCGTTACTCTAAAAAAATACAAAAGCCTATTTATCTACAAAATTCGTAAATGCATGTAACTAAATGACGATACAATAGTTATAGGATGTATCTAAGTGACCTTTATCCGAACGTTAAATGTGAATAGCGTTTATTGGTTTCGGTGCGAGAAGTTATCGAATCCGAGTCGATTTCGCTTTCCGAGGCGATTGTGAATAGCCCGGCTGTTGCATTAATTTTCGGGATTCCGTTTCCATCCTCTTACAGATTTTCTTCAAGATTTAGTAATTTTAAGAGTTTGTAATTTCTTTAAATTTTTGAAGTTTTAATTGTTAATAAATATAATCTTATGAATACTAATGTTCCACTTTCTGAATTATGATAATCAAGCACTTATAATGTAGATATTATAATGATATCAAGAACCAGTAGTGCTTTATCTAAACAAGGTAAAACCTCGCTTGTAAATCTATTTGCAGAATCTGTTTATTTTATCTTTTACAAATTTATTACTTATTATTAATTTAATGAATTTACAATTTTAAAATAATTGATAATTTAATTATTTTAATTATATGATCACCAATATAAATTGGTACGTGGTAGATTTGGTATATCATGATCGCTACTTGCGATGGCGTCTTCTGTCGGGTCGTCTACTTATTTTAAATAGTTTCACTAGTAAAAGGGTTTCCACATGTGTCATAGTTATGAAAAGAAGCGGCTTTTTATAAATTATCCTTTTATCAGTACCAGTTGTAAGCTCCAATTATGGTTCGATGCTCTAATGGATTTTTTGTTTTAAATTTGTTATTTAAGCTGTTCCTTTCGGTTCCGTAACGGTTACCGACGGGACCCTATTACCGAGCCTCCGCTGTCCGTCCATCCGTCCGTCCGTCTGTCTATCAGCGGGCTGTATCTCATTATGCGTAATAGGTAAACAGTTGAAATTTTCACAGAATGTGCCGCTATAACAAGAAATAATAAAAATAAAATAAATGAAAAATTACTGTACGATGGTACGGAGCCCTTTATGCGCGAGTCCGACTCGTACTTGGCCGGTTTTTTTTAAAACCGAGCTGACAAACTAATTTAAAGTCTACCTAGCAGCTTAACACTGCTGTGTTTCGTATGGTGAGTGTAGAGAACCGGAGATCCTTTTTAATGGAAAAGAGGCATTCCATCTTAGTCCTCACGGGTGACAACGCATCTGTATTTTGATTCGCAAACGAGGATAAATGTAGATGTCTACGGGCCACAGCAACCACTTACCATCAGGTGGACTGTGTGCTCGCTTGTCACCCTATCCTATAAAAAAAACCTGATGCTAAGTGGCTACTACAATCCATGTTCTCCTTTAGTTAGCTTCAAACAAACAAAGCTACTTATATGTTGTCACCTCTGAGGTCTAACTCTGTTCTTGTCGTGAGTCTTGACAAATGGTATTTTGATTTTAACGTCCTTTAATTAAAATTTTAATCCATTCATTAAATTTCATTTAAATACATTTTTTGTTATTTTTTTATTGCAGGTATAGTCGATATTTCTCATAAAAAAATTGATCTGAACTATGGCTTGCAAATTTTAACTATTGTTCTTATTTTTATGTTACAAAGTTTGTTGTGCGTAACTCGTTTGTGGTTTGATTTTAGAACGAAATGCAGCAAGCGTCAGTTTCAAAAAGAAACAAGATTCTATATAGTATATTACAACTTAAGATTTTTTTCCCGTGATGAGGAGATAATCCATATAACTAGTTCATAAAATAACGGGTACTTTGAAAATGTAACAATGTGTAGAGTGGTTGTGTGCCGCTAGGTAAAAAAAGTAAAATTTATGACGATACATTCACAGCTAAAATCAAAGTCAAGCCGAGAGTTAGACGCTTCAAAATTCAAGTTCACCGTACTTTTATAAATATGTCTTCAATGTTTCGCCCTGTCTTATTATTTATTACTTCTTGAGTTCTTTTTTAGTACCAGCCGGGTTGGATTCGTTTCTATAAGGAGCTAGCTATAAATCTTGCAGAAAACAATTTGTATTCGTTTTTTTTTATACTAGACTATTAATATAGAATCTGTCTTGGCAAAATCACTTAAGAAATTTTTTTGGTTGCGTTCGTCAATTTCAATTTGATAAAACATAAGATGAAAAATCGAAAGACGTTAGTAGAAAGAAAAAAAAAACAACTGCTTTGATATTTATGTGCTTGACACACGTCTGATTTTTATTAAAATAAATATTAACTTATTTAAATTTGTATTTGGTACGTGTTGATGTCGTCGAAGAATCAATAATATTATTTTATCCCGTAAGTGCCTTTAAAACAAGACAATGCGAAAATTCAATAAGGGTGAGATATTTGAAAGTTGATAATCATGTCCATAGTATTGGACTATTGGACGATACCATCGGCCTAACCCAGTGCCCTCACCTGACAACAGAGAACATCGCTGTTGCTAAACTGAGAACAGGGGCCCGAGATATGGGAGTGGTGTCAGTCTACCTAGAGGGAGACAAACCGGCCGAACCATACCTGGATATGATTGAAAAGGCCGTAGCAGGCTTAGGTACTGGTAACAGGCTTATCACTACACTTACCGGCATTATCAAAGGAATTATGATACTGCCTGTAAGTGTAGTGATAAGCCAATGCACATTCCAGCCATGAGCTGTAACATGATGTTGCTGGCAGGTTGTCATGACAAAGACGATGGTGGAGTTCACATTAATAATATCATAAGTTTCTTCAGCTATTTTATTATAATCTTATTTATATAACACAAAAAGCTTTTCAAGTGTGTGATTATTGCATCTGACATTGGTTGCAGAGTTCAAAGAGAGATAATAACACCACCAAAAAACGTAATTCAGGGCTACCTGCCTGTCATACTATCTCGTGGATTCCACCATACACTTTGGTTACCGGTACGAGGCTACGCGAGAATCTTCCCCATCGGGTGTTGGTACTTAAAGCTATTTGGCCAGGCCACTATCACTTCAGATTACTGATCAATTTAAATACGCTGGTTATTTTGGTTCGTCTAGGAACATTAGTCTAGTCATGCCCTCTTCATAGCTCCACTTTAAGCAAGTTCTTATAAATAGTGTTACGTTTGTTAATTAGAGTAGTTAATTGAGGGCTCCGTGGCGCAGTGGCTTAGCAATGAGTTGCTGCGCTGGGGCCGCGGGTTCGAAAGTATATGTATGACCTACAAATAATTGTTCCGGATCTGGATGTTTGTCCTTGTGCAATTTGTGTTTGTAAACTACCTCTGCGATACAGGAGAAAATCCTAGTGTAACGTTTTATAAAAAAAAATATCATCATCATAAAATAATCTTATTTAATTTTTATAGTAAAAGGTTGACCCAAATACATCTCCACCTACCTACCTTCGATTAAGTAACAAAATGCAGATGCTTTGTCACCCCTGAGGACTAAGATGGAATGCCCTGTTACCAGCAAAAAGAGTCTCCGGTTCTCTACACTTACCATACAAAACACAGCAACATTAAGCTACTGTTTTACGCTGGTATTCTGTGAGAGTGTGGTCCTTCCCCAGTCGAGCCGACCATAATATATTGCATAATATATTGCATCCATAATCTATTGCTGCAGCGTGGCTCTACCACGTAAACATGTTTCTTATTTAATATTTCATGTTCTTATTTCGCAGTCCCTATAATTTTAATTAATTTAAGTATCGTTTATACATTAATTTTTATCCATCAACACCGTCCTCATAACGAGGCCTCTATTTATACTAATGGTACAAGTAAGTGTTGTGTTCCATAGATACCTACATAACGTTTATCTCTTAAGGAAACCCATTAAGTAATATGAAAAATATTTAACCTCAAAATATTATTAACATGGTAATTCCATGCAAAAAGATAAAAAAACCTGCACTAAATCTTTTAAATAATCAGAAATTTTAATGTCATAATATGTACTCTAATATATTTATTTATTTATTTAACAATTTATGTACACACCAAATAATGTAATAATGAAGAAAAAAAAGATATTTTGTACAAAGGCACTGCTTATTTCATATTGAAATTTCTTCCAGCAGGCCTGATACTGGACAAATTAAAAGAGAAGCTGATCTAGTGTGTACTCTCATAATAAAATTTTATAATATTAATATACTTAACATAAAGTAAATATAATAAAAACATATATCCATGTAAACATATATATAACTAAATACCACTATAAATACATATACACATATATTATGTATGATTAAAATATTTCAGGAACTACTTCGAATTATGTTTTGTCGCTGTCAGGTAAATACTGTTGTCAATGAATAATGTTTATTTTCTGTTGCTAAACTAAGTAGAAAATAGTTATATGATTAAAATCTGCTGAAATGTTGAAATTATTTCCTGCAGTACAATTGGTAAAAAATCATAATATGCTAATATGCTTCTTTCACTACACTAAAGATCGGATTATATGATAAAATAAAAAATATTTCACTGTAAATCCAGTTATTAAATCGAGTTACTTACTTGTAAACAACGGTTATTTTTTCGTTAATCATCTCTTTATCTACTGTTCTTGGAATTGATACTACAATTTTGACTGCCTCGTTGGCCAAGTAGTCGTAAACACGATTGGCTATCATGAAATCCCAGGTTCGAATGCCGGGTCGAGCCAAATCAGTTATTGAGTTTTTCTGCCAAGAAATTCTCAGTAGCAGACCGGAGTCAGGAAGATGGCGGTGTTTCATCCTCGTGCCTCGGAAAACACGTAAAGCCGTTGGTCCTACGCCTGATCTCTTTCCGTTCGTGTCGGATTACTGTGCCATCAGACTATGAGAGAAGAAATAGAGAGTGCACCAGTACTTGCGCATACACTTGGGCACTATAATTCTGTCTTGAGCACTTGGCTTGTCTCCGGTGAGACTGGCGTCTTTGTTTTTATCTTTTATTACTTACCTTGTGCAGACAATACTACTATGTCAGACGTTGCATTAATCAATCATGCTCGATCACACAAAACTCAATACAGTGAACTTTAGTATCACTTTGCCGCACATTCGGTGAATTAGTCGCATATTCGGCCTAATACGAATATTCGGTAAACCTGACGAATATGTCGAATACCGAATATTAAACGAATATGCTGCCCATCTCTCGTTAACACTAAAAGCGGTTTCCAGTTTTAGTCTCTCACCATGCGAAGCACACCACCATTATGGTGGTATATTACGGTGTTCTGTGCGAGTATTGTTCTTCCCGGTTGAATCAACCCATTCGTTCTCCAGCCATCCTACAGCTACAGCGTGACTCTAGGGTCGCCTAGATTTGGTTGAGAAATATAGCAAAATCGGATGATAGAATTTAGTTTATTTTAAATTCCCTTATCGGGCACTACACTAATCCAATTTTTTAAGGTATCCACGTTAATGTATTGAATACTATGATTGCAGACTACAGCCACTTAATGTAATTTCCTAATTAATGTGATTACAGTGAAGTAAATTAAAACAATAGATTTTAAACATTTTACTGGATTCATTAAAAAAGCGAGAAACTCCTCGACTATCGATATTCCTAAAATGGAACCCACTTAAATCTGCTGCCCGGGTGCATAGATCTACCACTCTGCCGTCTGCCATCGCGCTACCCCACTGTGTATGGAATACATTTATGGGTTTAAATGACATTAAAGTTGTAGACATTGACATTGACCATTAGAGAAATAAGAGTTAGTTTGTCTCTCAAATAAAATACGTATTATCTAACAGTCTAAATCTAATAAAAACAGTGTTATTATAGTAACACTATGTGACATATGTGGTATATATGGTGATAAATAAAAGTAAAATAAAAGTAAAGTTACAGCCTAAATACGTCCCACTGCTGGGCACAGGCTTCCCCTCATTTCTGAGAGGGTTTTAAGGCAAGGAAGTGTCCGCCGCGTTGCCCCAATGCGTGTTGGCGAACTTCACATGCCTTCGAAATATATTTTTTTCTTATTCCTTACACATGCAGGTTTCCTTACGATGTTTTCCTTCACCGCCGAGCACGTGGTAAACCAGCACTTAAAATTGCATGCAAATTGCATTTCATTGGTGCCGGCAGGGATCGAACCCGGTTTGTTCGCGTACTGTGAAATTTACAGCGAGCGCTAACCATCTGAGCTACCACGGCTCTGGTGACAAATAATAAAGTTTAGTACTTTTTTTTTCAGTGTTTTCGACGAGTTCTACAAATCGAAACAATTAACTGTCGTCGTGGGCTATACAGACATCTCTAGAAACGATGTGAACCAGCCCTTGTCCAAAATTATCCCGCACCCTGAATACAGGTAAGTATTATATAGAAATACTGTATAAATATATTTGCGATTTATACCAATTTAGTGCGCACTGCACGTATCTTGGTGAAATTTATACCATTATCGCATTGGCATTGCGTAAAAGGGTTTTTTTAACACTAAAATAACAAACGAACTCACAGTCCACTTGATGGTGGCTACTGTAGTCCATGGACACCGGCGACCAGGTAAAATGAAACAGGAGATAGGCAGCAGTAGCTTCATTGTAACAATTCAAAATAATAAAAATCTACGGTTTAAAAAAGGTCTGTCGAGTGTGGGAACTGGGAACTATGGTAAATTTTGGGGATATTTTCATGAGACAATTAATAGGGAGGCCTATTTACAGCAGTGGATATTTAATAGGCTTAAATAAATGAATAATTTATCTCATAATTGAGCTTTATGATTACTGTGAATGTTTTCTGTTCGTTTTAAAGTAATTTGTAGCATATATAAACGTCCTACAATTGGGCACAAGGCACAGGACAGTCCGCTACGCTGCACCAGTGCGTCTTGAACGTACTTTACATACCCTTATACTATTTTATTCTTTAGACATGTAAGTTTCCTTATCATGTTTTTATTATCACCGAGTACGTAGTAACATTTAAATTGCATATTTACACATTAATAATTTTATAGGTGTTTGGGGACCGAACCTGTAATGTTAACATACTTTGAAATTTACGACATTCACTTAGCCCCCGAGCTACTACAGCTGTTTTGTTCATTTATTTTGCATTTTTTGATCACAGATGTAATAGAAAGTCGAATGATGTAGCTCTGTTGAAAACGCTCCGCCAATTGATTTGGACTAGTGAGTTACGCCCTGCATGTTTGCCGCAAGCATCTTCTTCAGATTTTAGCGGTGTTCAAGCCACTGTAGCAGGTTGGGGTTTCACGAACGAAGACAGGGGAATAGGTAAGTATTGAACTATCGTCGCAAAACCCATTCCATTTTCTTCCATGAAAATATTATTTGTTTTATTGATATTATATTAAGTATACTGTGTTATACGCTGTACGATACCTTCTATCATTTATGAAGATATAAGGTCCTATCGTATCATATTATTAGAATATAATTAATCAAAAATTTACTTTACGAAAACGTAAAAGCTGACTTCAAAAAACTAAAAAGAAGAAAGAATTTTAACTTTCAGAGGTCGGTGCTAAGATATTTTACTGAGTAATTAAAGCCCGATTTCACAGTTTACAATTATTTCATACTTTTTATGAGTTTAAAGTATTTTAAAAATAAATTATAACAAGTTGATTACACGAAACCAAAAGATGTTTCTATATTACATAATACTTTTTGCAGGACTATCGAGAACTGTCGATAGTTTCTATAATTCTTTAAGACTATATCGATACTCGTTGTAATTTCAAAAATATATTTTATTCAAATCTCAAACCAAAGTAAGTTTTTTTTTTATAGAATTAGGGTGACAAACGAGCACATAATCCACCTGATGGTAAGTGGATAAATCAAAATGCAGACGCGTTGTCACCTCTGAGGACTGAGATGGAATGCCTCGTTTCCAGTAAAAAGAGCGTGGTCCTACCCCAGTCGGGCCGATCCATTCGTGCTGCAACCACAATATAGCTGTAGCGTGGCTCTACCACGTTAAAAAAAGTATGCACATGCGAAGAATATTGTTGTAAATTGTTTTAATTTTAAATATTGCAAGCCGTGGAGCTCAGGAGTAAAGACGTCTCTCGTACTCTATGTACGTCTTTTTGTCACACTTTGTGTACTATAGGAAGAACTTGCAACGTTAGAGGGTGGTATCGTATTGACGTTACTTGTCAAATGATTTAAAAGATATCGCAATATCAATTTTGTAGTCGAATCTTTTTTTACCAGGTTCCAGGCCCAATATTCTGCAGAAGACAGATGTAGTCGTCGTTACTAACGATGAATGCAACAACTGGTATGAGTCACAAGGTAGCAAGGTGAAGATAATTTCCACTCAAATGTGCGCTGGATACGAACAGGGAGGCAGGGACTCTTGCTGGGTAAGGATATAAACCAAGAGGATGTATTTTTAAGCAGCTGTGGCGGCGTTATTGTATACGTCATACTCATATCAACCCGTGGGTGTCATGAGAGGCAACAAAGGGGAATGAATCAAGGGATGGCGGCAGTATCTTCCTTATAAACACTACGGTTCACCAAGCCTGCCATACTTCGGAACTATGGCAAATATTATTTATTTATTTACACTTTATTGTACACCAAAATAAAAGGATTACAAAGAACTGTAATGAATGAATGAAAAAATTGCCTAATTGCCTAATTGCGATATATGCAATCAGTATTCAATAAACACAATAATATGAATATTTACTGCATGTAAGAAAATAGTAGATATATTAATAATTATTTTGCATTCAGATTAATGCGTTATCCCGGCTACTGCCAGGATCGGCTTTCCTGCTCAAGTTTGCAAAGAAACTTAGAAGAGTTGTTGCGTTATTTAAAATCAAAAATTTTGTACAACTAACTTCAATATAAATTATTAAGAATAACTCAAAAAGTATTGGTCAGACCTTGATCAAATTATGACTTGACCATATATATATATACATATATGGGACCACATGTGACGCACCAGTTTTCAAATAAAAAAGAATAATCGAAATTGATTCTCCCAATAAAAAGTTATGAGGTAACACACATTAAAAAAAAACATACAGTCGAATTGAGTACCATCTCCTTTTTGAAGTGGTTAGAAATAATTAAAAATTAAAAATTTTGTACAACCGACTTCAATATAAATTATTAAGAATAACACAAAAACTATTGGTCCACATGTGAAGCACCAGCTTTCAAATAAAAAAAAAGAATCATCGAAATCATGTAACCCAGTAAAAAGTCATGAGGTAACACACGTAAACAAAAACATACAGTCGAATACCGGCTCCTTTTTGAAGTCGGTAGAAAATGAATATATTGTTTGTTTGTTTGCCCATTTTCTATGCGTTCCTATACCATGCATTTAATAACGATGAAAGGAGTATTGTAGCACATGAGTAGATAAACGGAACGGAGACAAAGCTTCTTAACAACGTGCAAAATTGTTACCTATTTTAGTAGGGTTGTCACAGTAGGTGAAGACAGATTAAACAAATCATTTGTTTAATAGTTTTAACATTCAGTGTGATAGAATACTTTAGAAATAATTTACTCTAATATTTTTTTTAATAATTTTTGTTTTTTAAGATTTTATTGTTTCTTTTAATCGTGAGGTAAATTCTGAATCTAAGATAAAGTTTTTTCAAGTAATCTAACGTGAAACACTCACATGGCATATCAAATTTACAATCTTTAATACGTTTAAGTATTTCGTTGTAAATATCGACAATATTTATTTCAAGATCGAAATATTCGCAAAATTTAAAATCGCGAAAAAGTAGTAATCAAATATACTTACCTATTGTACTTCTTAGGATAGTTAAAGTACAATATATTTTTATTTTTTCTTCTATTACATATCCATACACACAGTACAATAAACAACAATTATTAATAATACCACGTGTTTACATTAAAATATTCAAACTTGTAACTAAACAAAACAAACAATGTGCATCACACTGACCCTGAGGTATTGTCCACTGGCTGTGCCAGCGTAATCGGTTGTTTGCAGTCTCGCCGCGTACCCGACAAGCGGCCAGTGGTCCCGCACACTCGCCCCGCGTGCTTGTAGTAGTGCAACCGATTCGCGCGGTTCTGTCAAGCCTTATCTCTGTTCCGTTTATCTACTCATGTGATTATAGTGAGCAGCGCACCAAGGTTTTTGACAAAAATGCATTGCAACGCATGCTTTGAGTAAAGCTAGCTTAAAACAATTGTTCACCCTCATTTTAAAAATTCCGTGCTCAATTCTAATTAATGATTTCTATTTGGTTAAATGAACGGGGAAGGATAATTTTATACATGCGTGATATTTTTGGACTTTACATATTTTATTACAATAAGTCTTAATAATTAAACTTACTACTTAAATGTTAAATAAATTATAAATTACCACCCCGATTGCCAAGCGATGGCAAATATCCCCCATAAGTAATACCTTTAAATAGCTCTGTCAAAATACTTTTTTATATTAAAGCTTATATACATTGCAGAGGTGCCTCTGACAACTAATAATTTTAAAATGTCTTCTTTCGTCTTCTTCTTATTTATCAGCTTGTAAAAGTCCACTGCTGGACATGGACTTCCCCGTAGTATGGATGATTTTACTTAATCTCCACACCTGGCAAGAGGTATAGCAATCATAGTAGATACCAGGTGTCTCGCATCTTTGAGGCTGCGTCCAGTTACCGGTTTTAGCAATTTACGTCTAACATAAATGGGATTATACCGCAATGTATCGTAGGTGATAAGATTATTTTGGTATATCCCATAGTCGCCTCTTACGACACCCACAAAGGACAAAATAGGGCAAAGGATTCGCGTACTGGCGACCGCAGTATCAGACATCCTGCACCTATGCCACTAGTTGTACCGCAAATTAGCGAAAACTTGTGATCTTTCTGTAATTTTTCATAGTAGCGTTTTTTATAGAATAAGGTTGACCATCGAGCACACAGTTCACCTAATAGAACTGGATACTGAGGCGCATAGACATCTACATCTATCCTTGAATAAGAATCAAAATGCGGATGCGTTGTCACCCCTAACGACTAAAATGGATGCCTCGTTTCCAGTTAAATAGGTATCCGGTTCTTTACACTCAAACTACGAAACGCAGTAAGTTGCTATTTTACGCTGGTATTCTGTGAAAGCGTGGTACTTCTTCGGTCGAGCCGACCCATTCCTGCTACAACCATAATATAGCTACAGCGTGGCTCTACCACATATGAGACGCCTTCCCCAAAACCCACGAAATGAATTTGGGTAATGGATTGTCTAACGCCGCCTCCTCCAACACTGTTTATGGCTAATTATTTAATATACCGTGTAAGAATATCCACTACCCCATATCGTCCCGTGGTATTGTAAGAGACGTCAGAGGTAAATTGAAACAGATGATAGGCAGCAGCATTTTCCTAATAACAACTTAAAATAATAAAAAACTGCGGTTGGCATCCCGCTCACCAAGCGTGTTGACTATGGCAAAATCCCAGATTGCCTATTTTCATCAGTGGACTTTTATTTAATAAAAGTAAATTTTAATTACAACTGTTATTTTTAATGTATGTTTATAGGCTGACAGCGGTGGTCCACTGATGGTGCGAGGAAGCAAAGGTCATTCTATGGTAGTTGGAGTGGTCTCAACTGGAAGTGGCTGTGCTCGAGCAAAAATGCCAGGCATTTATACAAGAGTATCCAGATACACGGATTGGATTGTGGATAATGTGAATAATGATAATTTGAGATCTGGGTTCAGATTGTTCCAAAGGAGAAGATTGTTCTGAAGCAAACGAATTGATAAGCACATAATATATCAATCTATTACTTTATAAAATTATTGCTAAGTAGTTGTTACTAGCATAAGCTTAATATAAGATAAAATCAAAGATATATCTGTGATATTACTAACAGTTAAGTTTATGATAATTTTTATAACTATTGTACATATTATATAACAAAACTAAAATAAAATTAATTACTTTACACGGATATGTTCTTTTCATTACAAAACTTTTGGAATTCTTTCTTACTTTCTTCTATCACACTATACAATTTCCTTCCAGATGTCTCTTCCATATCATCCTTTAATGCTTTTAACGCAAATTCGATAGAGCTTTTCGCTTCGATAACCAAGGGTTTAATTTCATCAATAGTTTTAAAAGAACCATCGCTATTAACCTTTTTTGCTTTCAAAATCAACGCGGAATAAAGTTCATGATGCAATACGGAACTATAAAGGCTTAATCTAGCATTTCCTGGATCTAAAGTATTAGTGATTCCAATAAGATCTTTACACATTTTAGTTTTCTTCTCCAATATTTCTTCAGACATATAATTTGGTTGTCTACCATACAGTTGAATCAAAGAATGTTTTAGAGAATACAGATGATAATGATTAGGATGTAAAAATGTCGACAGCCTGCAAAGAAGATTTTCTAACATTGTCACGGATCCACCCATCGCTAACACTCCGTCAACCTCTTCTCCCATTTGTGAAATAAGCATATTAATCTGTGAATTATTCACTTTAACTGGACATTCACTGCAAGCCCAATCTGTTTCATCGTCTAGAGGATCTTCAGGAAGATGTATTCCATTACAAGGTTTGGTGCCATCTCCAAAACATTTCATAGCACTGAGGTAAGTGCCGAGTTCAGTGGGATCACTACACCTAGGACATTTACATGAGAAATATTTCGTATCTTTCAAATGTTGTCTTCGAGCTTGAGTGCCCCACAAAGCATGACTGTACATAGTTGTAATATGATGATCTTTCATCACAGGAACTACAACTTTAACTGTTATTTTATACAAATCATTCTTGTTTGCGTTTGAATGAGTAAATGTATGTTTTGTGTTTGGTATACAACTGTGTTCTAAAATACAAGTGTTGTAATAAAGTGCTTGTAGTTCAGCTCCTTCAGGCAAACGTATTTCCAATGAATTTGTGTCGATTATACCACAAACTCTATGTATTAGCTCCTTTGAAATTTCTGGTAGATATTTGCTCTTAGTATCTTTATCGAGCTTATTAATGAAATTGTTAATGAGATATTCAACTACGAATTCGTTGGCTTCACTGAAAAAAATCAAAGAATATTTTTTTTAGAAATATCGAATGTATTAAAACGTAACAATTATTTATATATTATGTACTTTAACATCTCCGCAGTAATTTCTTAAACTGGAGGAAGTTTTAAATTTAATAAAATATTAATCCAAAAACTGGAGTCCAAGGGAGCAGCTATTATTTTGTCAAAGTTGTAACAAACCTAGACGCGAAATTAGCAATTTGTCTTTCAAGGAAAGTGTTAGCTTCAACTCAAATTCATATATTGGAATTGCAAAAGAAGGAGATAAGCGATCTATCGACTTCTTTTTGGTTGTCAGTGATAATAACTGTGCTAGGCAGAATAAAGAGCACCTCCTTTTTTCCCAGGATTCTATTGGAACAAGAACAGCTGATAGAACGGTAATATCCTATTAGCTGTTGCTGCAGTGACTGCACTGCTGCTTGGTAGCAGTCACTTCATGTTCCTATCTGAAGGTTAAGAGAGCCAATATATTTATTGGTTGTGAGACAGACCTTCACCGTTTGAAGTTAATTGCAGGTATTCACAATTTGCTGTAGACACTATCAAATGGTCTGTTCATTTGTTTTTACGTTTATATTTTAGAAACAATTAGTACACTAATGTACCGAATACTACAGTGAATGCTTGGTTCAGATTTTCACAGAATAAGATATCGTGTATATTTCGGTCGCATGTTTACTACAATTTGTTTAACTATTGACTGTACAGATCACTTATCGTCAAGTAGGCTACCAACTTATGTGTCATTCTCTTGTAAAATGTATTATGCTACCTATATCATTAACGTGATATTCTTCTTCCTCGTCAGACTGTAAGCAGTCATCAGCTGGACACTTCACTTAATGGTGAACATTAATAAAATATTGCTTCATAAATAAATATCGATAACTACATACTCGTAGGCTTCGGTTCCAGGTGTGCGACACTCCATATGCGATTGCATTTTTAGTAGATTTTTCCATTTCTCAGGATCGGTTTTTTGTAGAAGAATGCATCGCAACGGTAACAAGGCATCGTGTCTAAAATAAAAAATAAATAGTAAGGAGGAAACTCGACCAACTATAAAGATTTTTGATATAGTTTAAGGGTGACAAACGAGTACACGGTACACATTATGGTAAATAGATGCTGCGACCCATAAACATCCATATGTATCCTCGATTAAGAATCAAAATGCAAATGCGTTGTCGCCCCTGAAGACTATAAAATGGAATGCTTCTTTATGAGTAAAAGGGGCCTGAAATTTTCTTCACTCACCATACGAAACACATCATTACACTGTTACACTGATTTATGATGGTATTCTTTGAGAAGCGGGTCCTCCACCCTGGTCGAGCCGATCCATTTGTGCAGCAGCCATAATTTAGCTGTAGCATGGCTCTACCAAGTAAAAAGCAAACAAACAGCTGGTAACTCCCAACATTGTTCAACAGATGACGGTCACCTCAGCATACCAGAGCTCATAAAATTCGACTCGAAGTTTCGACCAAAAAATATAGAATATTTAAATACCTGTAATAATCAGCCATATTGTCGAGCACACATTCAGGACGCACACTAAGAATATTGCACTCGATACCGTGATGTCTTGGATCTCCTAACCCTGAGCAGTTTCCACTACAAACGGGCCAACCACACCTTGAAAAAAAAAACAGAATTGAAGCGTGTCAGAGTAAGGCTAGGTAAATGATTTTTACATTTTTACATTAGGTTATGGTAATTATCTCCCTTAAGAAGCAATCTCTGGAAAAGACCTAAGCTCAGTAGTAGACTTGTGATGGTCTGTAAAAACGATGATGCCAGCAAAGACCTACTCTCTTTCTGAAAGTGCTATGAAACTATATGCCCTCCACATCCACTTTCAATCAGTTAGACTGCTTGCGCATTTCATACACTTTTTCTTATTTAACAATCCGTAAAAGTCTATAGCTGGACGTGAGTCTCTCCCGTTGCACGGAGAATTGCTTTAATTGTCAGGCTTGGCAGACAGACTGACGACCCCAGTACCAGACGTCTTCCACTTTCGACGCTGAGCCTCGTCATCGGTTTGGATATTTACCTATATCTTTTTTTTTTTAGAGTGACAAACTTGCACACAGCCCACCTGACGGTAAGTGGATGCTGTGGGCTATAGACATCAACATTTATCTCGATTAAGAATCAAAATTCAATACGTTATCACCCTTGAGGACTAAGGTGGAATGGCTCGTTTCTAACGAAAAGGGTCCACGGTTCTTTACACTCACTATACGAAACAGGAGCTTAAAGTTTGCTATTTAACATTGGTGTTCTGTGAGAACGTGGTCCTACCCCGGTAGAGTTACAACCTTAATATAGCTGCAGCGTCACTCTACCACTTATAAGCTGTAAACGAGATGGTTATATCACCATTTATCTCAAGCCATAAATTCTTCCTGGCATTTCTATACTGCCTGGATTCTCTTAGACGGTTGTCACTTATACTATAAAACATGTCCCAAGTTTCGAAGTCGCATAAAACTTACTTAGCACATCTTTCGCCAATATCTGTGAAGACGGGCTTGTAGCAGCCGACGCACGGCATCTGTGCTTCAGGGTCAAGCATTGCTTTCGGTGCGAAGACCATTGGCCTCTCGGTGAGTACTACGTCTCCAGGGGACAGGTCCCGAGCTGCCACCAAATAGCGGCCGAGCTCATCTGATGTTTCTATCTGAAATAAGATGCCCATATCCTAGAATCACCAAGGTCCCGTTGTTATACAAAGAGCTCTTATATTTTCATGCAACCCTTATGTGTGAAAATATGTTAGTCGTTTTGACTGAATTCAATTGTAAGTTGTAGAATAATATTCCTTCGAAATAGGTTTGAATGTTATAAAAGAAAATAATACAAATAGGTATAATACATTTTTATGTATTGTTCCTATTAAGAATCAAAATCATTGGGCGAGAAAAAATAATTGTCTAACTGTGACGGCGTATAATTAATACTACCCCATATTATCTCGTGGGTGTCGTATGTGGTACTTACTTACTTACTTATCTTCACGCACAATCCCTGACGGGGTAGCCAGAGAGAACAGATCGCCAAGTGTCACGATCCTTACAAACCTCTTTCGCTTCTTTCAGATTCATTATCTTCTTCATGCATGCACGTCTAGGTATCCGAGTACTCTTGACCCTACCCTCTTCGAGCAATTTGCTCACATGGTCTTCGAAAGTTAGTCTCGGTCTACCTCGACACCTTTTAATATTAACTTTCGCGCTATATATTTTCTTCACCATTCGGTCTTCACTCATTCGCTCAACGTGCCCAAACCACCGAAGCACGCCCTTATCAATTTTTGTGATAAGGTCATCTTTCAAACCTGCCATATTGCGAATCTCTTCGTTTCGCTTTCGGTCGGCCATGGTAACGCCGCACATTTTACGAAGAGATCGCATCTCCACTGCATTCAACTTACTTTTATGCTTCTTCTGGCATACCCAGGTTTCGCTGCCATATAACAAAGTCGGTACCAACACTGCGTTATGTATTGCAAGGCGTGCACTCTTCGCTACGCCTTGCCTTTTGACTAACGCAGTCAGGGCACCATTGACTTTGTTCCCGGCAGCGACACGCCTGTCCACATCTAAATCACATCTTCCATCCCGGCTAAAAGCACTCCCCAAGTATACAATTTCATTTACCGGTTCTAGACATTCCTGATTTACCCATATTTCACACTTCGTTCTCTCTTCGAATACCAGAACCACCAGAATACCAGAAATACCAGAAATACCAGAACCTTAGTTTTATTAGCATTCAAACGGGGACCTTTAATTTCACATTCCTCTTTCATACACGTGACTAATGCCTGCAGTTCTGCCTCTGATGGTGCAATAAGCACTGCATCATCAGCGTACAGCAGACAATTTACCGTATGTGGTAGCAGAGGGAAATAGAAACAGGAGATGAGAAGCAGCATCTTTCTGTAACAAGTCTATGATAATAAATAAAAAACTGCTGTTGCCAACCCACCTTTACAATCTATGTCTATGGCGGAGGCTTATGTTCAGCAGTGGACTTTAATACACTGAAGTGAATGAACGATTGAAAAATAATCTATAATAACAGGGACTGACGAATAATGAGAGGAGATAAAATAATAATGAGAAAATAATTTTAGAAATTAAGTTTAGTTTTCAAAATATTTTTATTGTATTATTGTAAACTAAAACTTTAACACCAACCTACTTTGCTACCAAAATTTTAACCAACTTTCAAATGAGACTAGGCCTGTACGTAGCTGTGGGACGTAAGTATAGAGATTGTAATTATACTCTTTTCGAAATATTATATTAAAAGTGTACGGGTACATAAGCACATAAAAATTAAAAAAAAATTGCATTTCGTTACAGAAATCTTTTCGATCGATATAAACATAAACTAATAAATCCACGACGCCAACCTTACAAAATATTATCTACACAATGAAACCTCACACAGATCTATAACAGGCACATTTTTAACAGCGGCTGAGCAGCGGTCTCCTCTCGTAGTATCCTCTTAGTAGTCTGTGCCCATTTGTAAGAGCAATTATAAGGTCACCACACTGTTCCAGTGCGTGTTGACGGACTAGACGAGTCCTCGAAATTATTGATATAAAAAAATTAACATACCTACCACAGTGGCGAACAAAAATGTTAAATACAAGCCCCTACTATATGGCAATAAAAGTTCATGATAAATTACGCCAGGAAATAAAAATCATTTTTTATAGGACACGAGCACACAGCCCACCTGATTGTAAGTGGTTGCTGTGACTCGTAGACATCTACATTTATCCTCAATAAAGAATCAAAATGCAGATGCGTCGTCACCCGTGAGGACAAAGGTGGAATACCTCTTTTCCAGTAAAATCGGGCTCCGGTTCTCTACACTCACCATACACTCAGCAGTGTCAACCTGCCATTTTACTCTCGTATTCTGTGAGAGCGTGGTCCTTCCCCAGTAGAGCCGACCCATTCCTGTTACAACTATACTACTAATATAGCTGCAGCATGGCTCTACCACATACATAGCAAAATTAACCAAACTTAATCCAAAACTGAGTAAATATTTAAAACAAATTGCCTTCTACTCAGTGGAGGAGTATTTAGACATCATAAAGTAACAGTATTATAAATCTTTATATTTACGTAGCTTCTAAGTATATTTTATGTAAAAGCAGTGTCCTCCTTAAATTGTGCAGTGCCTGAAAAGGGCGTCTAAGTTGTAAGCACATTTTTAATTTAAGACCAGTTATGCACACTGGGGATACAAATACACGTAAATTATCATTTGATTTGATTTTATTAACTGGTCCTTAATAAACAGGGTTATTTTTCAAAGAGTAGCCAAATTTTAAACTTAACTTCAAATATATAAATAATGATACCTTGAAAGTTATTGCAGTTTTTAAAAATACGACTAAATAATGCTTCTACTTTTATTTGAAATTATCCTAAATTAAATGTGATTTGTGGACAACAACATTTTTGCATATCGATCGATCCTTACGAATGTGTGCGTGCGAAATAAAATCAGTTAAAATAATGCATTACCACGCATTTTCAATTTACAAGATAAAAAGGACAGAATGTATCAGATTTTTTTAATTATTTTTCTTCAGCATTTGCATATATTACTAATTCTGAACCTTCTCTGCAAATTTGACCGGTTATTGCAAAATAACCCTGTATAAGTACAATAAACTATATTGTTTTCACTTTAAAAAATGTGAATATTATAAGCATTATAACATAATTACCTAACGTTAAAAATCAACGATAAGTAACTAACTATCGCAAGGCTGTTAAATTATGAGCGGTCAGTTTTATTTTTCATACTTGTATAATAATAGAAAAATGTATTTTAATCATCAATAGTCATCGATCGCTCAACAGTAAATAATAATTTAAATTAGTGAGCGCGCCATCTATCGTCACTACTTATTATTATGATATTTTTCAGTAAAATATATATAATAGCGACGAAGAGGTATTAGTATATTTTACTAGATGGCAGGAAAAGCAATTAAAAAAATATTTACTTTGTATGATAGAGAAGTATTTGCATCTTCTTGCCCCATGATTCTGAAATAAAAAAAATATTATGTTATTTGCGGTAAAGTTCATGCTATTAAACTTTAATTTTATCGTCTGTCTTGGAAATAGAATTGAGTAAGAGCATCATTTGTAAAAAGTAAGAAACTCGTTTTATAGGTACTCTTATTGTATTATACAGCATGTAACAAATGGGGTATCCATTATCATAAGTGCATTATCATAATCAGTATTCAAAGGAATACAAGTAAGTTCACATCAGAAAACTAGAACACAAAAAAAATTAAATTAAAATAAAATAAATTTTATTTGCAAATTGCTTGTGGTTTTATGACCTCTGCATTAGCCGGGGAGTAAGTGGCAAGAGTATATTACCAAAGGCTCAGTACCAATGTACGTGTCAGTTAGATGTAATAAAATATTTAAGTTTTTATGTATTCGCAGCTCTCCTGCTTTTTTGTGTAGGTGGATACTGATTAATGACAAAGGCATAAATAAATTTAGTATATACCGATTTTAATTAATGAGGGTGACACACGAGCACACAGTCCACCTGATAAATGGGTAATGAGGCTCATAAACAACTACATCTATCTTCAATCGAGGATAAAAATGTAGATGCGTAATGCGTTGTCTCGTCACCCTTCAGGAGTCAGGACTAAGAATGCCGCGTTACCAGCAAAAAGGCTCTTCGGTTTTCTATCACCAATTACGAAACAAGTATATTGTGAAAGCGAGATCCTTCCCCGGTATAGCCAACCCTCTATCCCGATCCGATCTATTACATGATGTAATCTCTTTAGCAAGTATTCATTGTTCCATCCATTCTCATGGTTTTAAAGTTAATACAAAACTTAATGTATGATTGTTTTAGTTTCTTTCGCCTACGTAAATATTAGCGCCTGACAATGTATACACTGCAATTACAATTAACTGCAACCAATGATATAATTATATATTTGAAACATGTTGTGGCAAGTGTAATTAATAAGGTTTTTTTTTTTATTTTCCACCAAGGAGTATATCGTCCTTGTTGGGAATTTTTTGACAGTTTTACTCAGTGGGATACATAAAATGGCTTAAACTATATTGTATATGTATTGTTAATCTCTAAGACAAGATAACGCTACATAAATGCGATTTGACACATTGATGAGGTATCAATCTTCATCATATTATCACTATTACTCATTTATTTTACACCAAATGAAATTAACAATAACAAAGCAAGTTCGCATAAGTATTCTCAGTAACATGTTCATAAATGTTAGAGCGCAGTCTTTTAAAATATTTTATTTTTTATTATTATCAGATCTGTAATACGTACTTTAAACATTATAACTTAATTGCAAATTATAAATATTATGAATATAGATAAAATGAAAGGGATTGCCTGTAGAAATACAAAATTAATATAAGTAAAATACAGGGTATTCTTATATCTCATTCTCATATAATTTAGTCTTTAGCCTTATGATTTGTTAACAATCATTAAAATAAGTGTCTTATAGCCGAAAAAAATGTGTGAATGATAAAATTGTACAAGTGTGATCCATAGCTATAAGTATATACAATTTGTAAAGAACTTAAAATAACTAGCCTAAATGCTTAATCTACATATTATTGTATCCTTAAGAATAAAGATAAAATTAGAAAGGAGGAGTAATAATTATATATGTTAACTTAAAATATGAAACTACCTAAGTGGAAAATTCATACATATTGTCTTATATCTATTAGTTACCATTTATTGAATCTTTTAAGCTTATCTTATATAGATTTTGTAAATATAACAAAGGATTCGTAATATATACGTATACGTAAATTGCTACAGAGCATCTCATGTTCTAGTCTATTATACTCAAATCTAGGACAGTTCCTCAACAAATGAGTAATTGTTTGAGGAGTGGTATTGTCACAAGGGCAGAAGGGATCAGCAGCGATTTTGAACCTATGCAGATATTCCTTGTGGTGGCCGCCGTGACCCGTTAAAACCTGCGTTTATTGAAATGATACTTTAGTTGCTTTCCACAGTGCGCAAATGTTCGTCAATTTTGGAAGTAATTCTTTAGTACGTGTTCCTTGTTCAGCGCTTTCATATCTTGACTGCCAAGTTCTCCAAGTGTTTGCTCTCATAGTCCTTTTTACAAAGCTCATAGGGAATTTCGCATAATCAGGGCTTTTATGTTGTGTGGCAGCACCTTTGGCAGTCTCATCGGTGATTTCGTTACCTACGTTGCCCGCACATGTCTCTTAACTCATGAAAACATGATATTATAAGGTCTATTTGAGCCGCTGTGTATATTATATCATGGGTCTTTGCCACAATATGGTGGATGTTGGATCTCATTTGGAGTGCGCTCAATGCAGCCTGAGAGTCGCTCAAGATCTTAATAACCTCCTTTTGGCATGTGTACATGCTTTTGCCTCTTTTATGCGTTTCAACTCCTTGATTCAATCTCCGGTCCAAAGTCCACTCGCAATCGCGAAGTGCCCCGCTTGAAATACATAGCAGCTTGTGTGTAGTTTCAGCCTCTTTTCTGCCGACTTCAAAAAGGAGACCGATTTCGATGATTCCTTTTTATTTGAAAACTGGTACTTCACATGTGATTCCAAATAAATTTGGTCAAGGTTTGATCAATCGTTTTTGAGTTATTCTTAATAATTTATATTGAAGTCGGTTGTACAAAATTTTTAATTTTTAAATTATTGTGTATATCTTTTGAGCCTTCGAAACCGCCGCTCCTACACTGCCATCCTCAAGCTTGCTTCCATCTGTAAACATTCAAATAAGGGATGTATCTTGTTCTTGATCCTCTGATTTCTGGTCTACACAATCAATGCTTACCCTCTTTGAAGGATGTAATAGCTCATGCACAGGAGTGGGCCTTTCATATTGTATATCCCTTGCTTATAAGTTGGTGGCACCCTGCAGTCGAACTGTCTCAACTTCAAGTACCTCCAGGACTCTGAGGTCCAAGGGCACGAATTGAACCAGAGTGACTGTCGCCACAATTGATACAGTCCTAAAGCCTCTGATTGCCTTTATCGCAAATCCCCTTTGTACCGACTCCAAAAGATTCCATACGTATAGTTTTTTCACTTCTTGACCCCAGATGCCTGCTGCGTATGTGTGTGTCATTATCCAGTGTGTCATCAACGTAAAAGTGATCCAAGAGTGTTTGGGCAGTCTCCATTTCGCTGTTGGTGTAGTTGTCACAAAATTTCATGGTGGCTGGTGGTCGCTTGGGTGCAGAGTCCTTCAGGAGTATATTCGCGAGAGCCCAAACGTTTTCTTTTGTTTGTAGTTCGCAAAACTCCCTAAAACTTCTGGAAGACTCCGTCCTCAGTTCTTCCGCATATATTGCTTTCTTGTTTTTTAACTCCTCTGCCAGTATATTATGTATCCATGGGCAATTATAGAAGCTCGATCCCTGCCGTTTGTGACGGTTTCAAAAGTGGGTGAGGTGCCATCTTCTGGAGTTTTTGGTCTTACTGCCCCATAGGTGATGCCATCCATTGAAGTCACCACCTATAATGGTATTGGGACATCGGGAGGTTTTGAAAAAATTATCTATGTGCTCTAAAGTATTATTTCCGTCAGAATCCGGCTCAATATATGAGGAAGCTATGAGCATTTTTTGGCTGCCGCTCGTGAATTGAATAACGCAAAAATTTGTGTTGGAGTATTGTGACGTACCTAGTACCTGGCCACAACCTGGTTTGGTGACTATACAAGCCTTGACTCTGCCTTTTTAACTAAATTGATATATGTTGAGGCCCTGAGTTGGTTGCACCTCATTTCCTGAGCCAAGATATGGTTCCGCCAGCAATGCAATTTGATAATCACCTGCCATGAAGAAAAGAATAAATTCGTGTAAACACTTTTTTGAACGGTCAATATTACACTGTATAGTTTTTATATTTTTATTGATTAAATCCATAGTCAATTCTGTTATTTATTCTTTCTCTCATGGCTCTCAGTTTTGGACATTCTGGTAACATGGCAGAGTGGCGGACATCCGCCTTTGTTCCAAATTTATCATTGTGAGATGCACAATTGGCACATTTGACTGTGCCTTGTTTACCCTTATTAGAGCATTTATCCCCTGTGTTGCTGAAGCAGTGCGAGCATTGGCTAGTCGTAGCCGTACAGTATTTTTTAATGTGCCCAAACTGCAGACATCTGTGACACTGTAGAAAGGGTGAGAATTCTCTGACGTGCAGTCGCTGGTAATTGACGTTAATTTTGCCCTGTTCCATAAGTTTATGGAAGAATTTGGGCTCCACAAGAAACATTCCATTGTATAGCTCCAGCTTTGTTACTACGCCTAAAGCGGAGACGCATGTCATCCTCCTTAGTAAAAGCCTCTTTCAATTCTGGGTTCTGCCCCCTGACAATACCAACTATCTCTTTAGCTGGTAATACCCTTTAGTGCAATCATTGGCCCCAGTCCCTTAGCCGGCTCAACGCTAACGTGCTCAGATAATTTGAGCTTTTGCAGGGTGTCGTCACGTTGTTCATTTGTGTCAAATTCAACCCTGAATTTGTGATTTGATACTGCCTGAACCCTAGCCGGTGCATTATTTGCAGTGCTATATGAGATGCTCCTTTTAAATGCCTCGGTTTGTAGACAAGTGGACCGCGGGCTGGTGGCCACATCCTAATGTGACTGCTGACAGTGCCTGGCCCTCTGCTGGTCGCAGCGGCTTGTGCGTATGAGGCCATACCTGCTGTTAGAGCTGCGTGGAGGTTTGGCCCTTTAATTTGGCCATCTCGCTTCTGACACAGGCGACAATGTCAGCCTTTAAGTCGCTGCCCATGTTGCTTTGGAGGAGGGGGGGGGGGGTATTATCAGGGGCATTGTTATTAGTTTATAACCACACCTTCTGATCTCCTCGGCAGCTAGGTTAATGAGTCAAAACGGTGCAAGTTCGGGAATATCTGCTTATATTGCCGTGTTCAGCTTGGTTTCCAAGATGGCCGACCACGTGGGTTATGGAAAACTGCTGGAAATTCGATTTC